TAACCACACAAAGGAAGATATGATTTAAAGATCAAATGAAGATCACATATGCATCGGAATCCGACGGGATGATAAGATAAAAAACAAATAGGAAACGTTTATCAATCTAACATGTTTCACTTTTATTAAAGCTTCGTCAGAGATTGAGAGAAAACAGACAAAAGACAGAACTTTGGCATTTTCAATTCTGTTTGGGGTCGATTCTCATTGGTCAGTTATGTATTACGTGCATTAAAACCGAAGATATTTCTCTCTCTCTCTCTCTCTCTCTCTATATATATATATATATATATATATATATATATATATATATATATATATATATATATATATATATATATATATATATATATATATATAAAAAAACAAAACGCTAAACATTTGACACCAAAAAGCAGGCGCTTTCGGATTGACTATCAATGGCAAGACGTTTACGTATCATCTGTACGCTGGTAAAGAATACCACCATGCAACTCCCTTTGTAAAAAGAAAAGCTTTAAAAGTAGTTGATAGATTTGTTTTGTCCTGGAAGTAACTTTTCTCAGATGCGTTCTCTTGATCTTTAAATTTCAAACAGAATTCAAAGAAGTGCAGACACCTTTGGAAACCTTGAAGGAGAAATGTTGGTCACAAAGAGAAACTAAACTCATCACCAAAATAATTGTTTACCGTGCGTTTCTGCTATCTAGCCTCCTCAGTAGAAGTGAAGCATAGGTGAGGCGACGTATGCATGTCACATGAAGTCAAGTGAGTGCTTTCGTCAGAAATGCTCGTGGTATATAAGGCACGTTCGATGGCACTCATGTACATCTGATACAGAAGTGCTCTCAAAAGCAAATCTTCTATCAATCGAAGTAATAATCATGATCAGTTATCTGTCATGATTTGGATACATAGATCGTCCAGGTGATTAGCATATACCCGAGCAACTTTTTTTTTATGGTGAACCAGTGCTTGGATAGTGACACAAATATACACCGAAGAAACATCATAAGGACTGCGTAAAATAATAATTGGCTAGCATGGACAAACATGTCTGCAATACGATGCAGAGTCAAAAGGTCGGTTTTTTCCATGACACCGCCTTTTTAACTATCTTCGCCTTTCCGCAATGTTTATTGTTTTAAAAACTGATTATTACAATTGGAACAAAACCTAAACATATGATAAAAGTGAATTTATACATTTTTTTTTTTTTGTTCTTGAGAATTATTCAAAAATATTCGACTGTAGACGGGATCATCGAATCAATACGAACAATTCTTTCCTTAACTGAAAAATATGCGCTTCGCCATAGTTTTGAATTCAAAGTTTTCCTTCGCCTAGACCGGTTGCCACCGAAGGTTCTAGAACCAAGTCTGTTCTACTATTTACCTATAGCTGAGGGGAGAAGAGGTAGATTCATATCTTTAAATACTATTTATTTATTAAATTCATATTTACAAGAATATTTTCATATTTACCACATTGTAAAAACTAATAAAATTAGAACTAATGTAATGCAATATTTATCATTTACCAATTTATAAAGAAATATAAAAACAATTTTTTATTCATAAATTTATAAACATTTACTAAATTATTAAAATATGTAAACCAACTCTAAGGAAATTCTTATTATTTACCATTTTATAAAGTTTGAATCAATTGACAATTAGCCTGTGTTTTGCCAAACATTCCAATAAATAATGTAATATAATAAGTGTAAATAGATAAAAATAAACGAAAAGTAAAAATATACGAGATCCAAAAGGGACTTAAAGTCAAACAACACAATACTCAATATCCTTGTATGCTACCGGGATTTTCCAGATCAAAACTCTGGTCTGGAAAACGCCATTTGAATTATAAAAAATACAATGAATATAGTCTATTCAGATGAAGGTGCATTGAAATACCATGATCTACGAATCCCCGAAGATTAATATAAAATCACTTGTTCTTCCGAAATTAGCACATAAACAATGTAGGATATGAAAAACAAGGTAGAGAAAATTTGCTTTAGGCCTGTTTTCATTTTATTTTATCTTATTACTGTGATCGGTTTGAAAATCCTTGCAAGTAAATCTTAACTTGTAAGGTGAAATGATCATAACAGTGAGGTAATTTTAAATTCCTATTGTATGTAATATATATATATATATATATATATATATATATATATATATATATATAGTGATTGTCAAAGCGTAATTTAGATGTGGCACAAGGCCGAAAGTATGGGCTACCTGGTGAGTATCGAACTCAGGATGCCCCATACTTTCGGCTTTGTGCCACATCTAAGCTACGCTTGGAAAATCCCTATATATATATATATATATATATATATATATATATATATATATATATATATAACATTAGTACATTATCTGTGACACTCAGAGCCGAAAGAGACAGAAAATAAAGGAAAAGAAATAGTAACACCAGAAAATTATGAAAAGAAGAAATAAGCACGATATTCTACACGTGTCCGCATATATACACATATAGGCGTACGCACGCACATATATATATATATATATATATATATATATATATATACAGACACACGCACACAAAGAAGACAAAATCAACCTAACACTAACAAAAAGCGCATATTTTTTAAGTTACTATAAAAATAATGAAATTTTGAAAATCGACTGACAACCTCCTGACGAGTGGAGTGAACGATTACAAAAATTTTTGTCCACGAAACTCTGGAGTCGGGATGCTGAATATATCATCAATCAGCTATTTCATATTTGTATTAACCATATATATATATATATATATATATATATATATATATATATATATATATAAATGATAGGATAAAGAACAAGTGGGAAACAGATCTTAATCACTTTATTAAAGCTTTGTCAGAGATCAAGATAGAAATGGTAAAAATGATAAAAAGCAGAGAGACGCAGATTAATGGTATATTGTGACTGGCTATTTTTTAATGGTTAGATACGTGTCACGTGTAATGAAGTAACAGATAATATTTAAATATGTGTGACAAACATTCTGGACGCTAAAGTCTGTAAAAGTTAGTGAGATGCAATAGTATTTTTTGATTGGTTATTTCTTATTGGTATAGATACTTGTCACGTGTAATGAAGCAACAGATAATATTTAAATAAGTGTAAGAAAACATTCTGTATGCTAAAGTGTGTAAAAATTAGTGAGACGCTGCAGGATGTTTAAAAAATTTTGTTTGGTTTGATTTTTCATTAAAATATATCTCGTGCGTATATTGTATATATTGATTTTTATGTATTCGGAAGATTCATGAATATATATATATATATATATATATATATGCAAAATTGTCCAAATCGTGTAACAGTAAAATTGTCCAAGTGTTAGCTTTTGAACTATTGTATCTTAGAAATGATTAAAGATATCTTACTGGAATTCTCCAAGGCTTTTTTTATAACACTATTGGACTCTACTTTGCGCAATAAGAATGTATAATTACTCTCCAAGCTTGACAGAAGAATCGTAATGAAATTGATCATAAACGAAAATGACATGTTTGTTCATCATAGCTAAGGATCGGAAGCTCATGAAGGATTGATATAAAGTTTATATATATATATATATATATATATATATATATATATATATATATAGAGAGAGAGAGATAATTCCAGGTTTATTTTCCAACTTATTCAAGATGATTTTCGACCTCTAACTTTCAGAGGTTTCACGTATGATTTCATTTTCAAGTCTTTTTCACTGTCCTTTGGACTGTCATAGCTGAAACTCCTCTCTCACGTTCCAAACGTTTTATGGATTGAGTTGGGTCTTTTCTAATTGATCTCTTTAGCTCAAAGTTGAAATGAGGATCCCTCTTCCTGCTGGGAACTCCTGATCCAGTTTTATTCTCTACTGTTCCCTCATTTTTAAACTTATTCACCGTTCTCTTGGTGGTTATTGAATGAACTTTGAAGATGGGAGCCTACATAGCTGGTTTGCAAGGATTCAAAAACAGTAATTTAATCTCGCTAACCAGACGCTTCCTCTGTAGCTAAATGGTATAGCACGTCAGGCTATATAGTGGCTCCGTGGAGGATACATATTCGATACCTGTCGGAGGGCACAAATATTTCTTTGAGATTTCTCGGACATTCAGGCCGGTAAATGTTGTTAATACTGTTTATTATAAACAGAGGATATACTTAAATATTTGTATCTATAAAATAACGTATAAACTCTCTCATTCTTTCTCTCTCTCTTTCTCTCTCTCTCTCCATATATATATATATATATATATATATATATATATATATATATATATATATAAAGAACAATAAAATATATAATCCGGTGTTCTTATTGATATCTTTTTATTTTTAAAAAACAGTGCTCAATGTAAATTTACAGAGCATAAATATTATAAATTAACCGATTTATAATATGGTTTCTTCGCTACACAGTAATAACCATGTTTCAAAAACTGAAGCTAAAAACTTCACATTTAATTATATAATTAGTTCTGTTTTATCTTCAAGCGAATTTTGAAATAACTTACATTTTCTTTTCTTTTTTCTTATATATATATATATATATATATATATATATATATATATATATATATATGTATGTATGTATGTATCTTATCTTATAAGATGGGTTTGGTCAGTGTGTTAGCTACCCAGAATTTCACGTTTTCGATATTTGAAGGAATGTCGACCGCCTTAAAATTGTCAGTTGGTTGGTTTTTTGGGTGTTTGGGGGGGTCTTTTGCGGTATATCAACCTTTATGCGTTATTTAATGCCGAAATTTAAATATTTTGTGTGAATGTTTTTTTGGGTTTTTTTTTTAAGATAGTAATGGTTTTATTAATATAAGTCTTACTAATCAATCCATAGTTGGGGAGAGAAGAGGTGGATTCATAATTTTCCCTACAGTATTTGCGCATAAGTGAATATAACAAACCCAACGAGAATTGAAATTGGCTCTACGATTAACGGTTCTGAGCCATTATCCATTAAACCACCTGCAAATCCAAACGTACAGCACCTGGTATTCCCAAGGGGTCACCAATCTAGGTACTGACAAGGCTCCTCGTTGCTTAACTTCGTTGATCATACGGGAACTGGGATTTCATTGTAATGTCGCCGTAAACTTATTATATCACCCGCACATCCAAACTTACAGAACCTGGTATTCCCAAGGTGTCACACATCTAGGTACTGACCAGGCTCGACGTTGCTTAACTTCGGTGATCGTACGCGAACCGGTGTTTCATCGTGATGTAGCCGTAAGTATTGTGTACAAATGTATAGACGAATTTTAAGAGACATCTTTTCTACAAATATTATTTACTCTGCCATAAAGTACTGGGCAACTTTTGTTCCCCCCCCCCTCCATGTACATTTGATAGTACTTAGTGGGTAATTTACTGATCAAAGCTATATATAAACAGGCTCTCGCCCGATCCCCGAAGCTAAGCAACGTCGATACTGGTCAGTATCTAGATGGATGACCGCTTGGGAATACCAGGTGCTGTAAACTGAGATGTGCGCGTGGTATAATGGATGTCTCAGAATGAGATGTCCCCTCTCCTTCACGAAAACACACCAGACGGAGCCCTTCAGGCGATTGGAGTCAAAGAGGTCACATGCTAGTAAAATTTCCGGGCTAGTCACTCCAGTGCCTATGGGCTATGTAGAAAAGACCGATCTCCCGCTGGTGAACGTACAACCGCCCTAAGCTGACGGTCGCACTAAGGCTCTATCGAAAGAAATCGGGTGGCATGAGATGCCCAACGTTGTTCCCGACTCCCAAGACTTTGTGTTGTGCTCAATCCTTTTTGTTCACTTTTGAGAATCTTGCTATCTCCGTGGGTGCAAGTTAGTATCGTAAGCGCACGGTGTGCCTTTTCATTGATTGTCGGATTAGGAGCGGCCGTAATAATACTCTCCGTGCGTCTGAAAGAGAAATAAGATTATCAACATTTGGGGTATGACGTCAGCGCGTCTAAAGTTGTGTTCTCAAAAACCTGGCGCATCTTCTATGTCCTAATCTTTGCACAGGTCGAAAGTGGGTGGAAATATGGGGGTAGAATCAAACTGGATAAGAAACGTCTAAAAAAACGGCCTTTTGTTCGTCACTGTTGTTTATGCACTATAACGCCCGACAGCCATTTAAGATAGAGAGTTACTGAATGGGATTTTCTGAACGTAAGCATTGTAAATTATGAGCATGCGTAAAATAGATAACGATTAAACCTGGTGATCGCAGAAGCATCCTCACGGGAGCAACAACTCTTAGGAAGAAGCTGTAGGAATGGGACTTCCTCTTTATCAGTGGAATACAATGGCGGTGAGGATGATTTGACCCTGTCTACGTAGCATCGTAAGTTTTCGCTGTACAGGTCTGGACTGGTGGAACTAGGGAATTTCTATGCAAATAGCGACAAAGTGGCGATAAGCTTGCGATGTTACGTCTATGGGGGAAGAGGTTGTAGGGTGGGAAATAATTAGAACTCAGTCGAGGCCGGAAAGAGAGGATGTTGCAGCTACAATCCAGATACGGCAGCAATACACCATTTTTGGTCTGATCTGATTCTTCTAAAGCAGGAGTCTGGTACTTTCCGTAGAGATATAAGGAGAATGGATCGGATAGATGAGTTACACTTGAGGTCTGAGGTGAGCTTGAGTCCCAATAGACACGCAAAGCAAGACACCTCTTTGAGAGTTCAACCATTCATTGTGACTGGCGATAATTCAGGGTCTTGCAAGTGAGGAAGACCTATGCCCTTTAACATAACATCTTTGGTTTAAATATGGTCGCCAAGCACTAGCAGCTGCACGAAATAATCAGCAATCTCACCTACCCCAGAGACCTTATCTGTCAGTCTATATTCTTAATATAATCCCGAGAAAAAAAAAGTAATGTTTCCGTGGATAACTCAGTATATATGCATAAATTTTTATACACTGATGCGCGCGCACTCCCTCATATAGGCTACATACACTAATATAAACACATACACGTATGCATTACTACGTCACGACACGAGTTCCGTAATCCATTAAGGTTCGTAGGGGTATAACATGTACTACTAGCAGTGGTGTATCTAGGGCAAGATGGCCTGACGAAGCTCATCCCTCTTCAAGTTGCTTTTATATTCAGAGTTTTCCTTTTCCTGGTTGCCAACCAAAGCAAGGAATCTCAGTCAGCCTTTCTATTTAACCCATAGCTGGGGACAGAAAGATGTATTCATATTTTTTAAAGTGAGAAAGTGAACGTAATGTACTAAGCTGGAATTCGAAATCGGCTCCGTTTTTCTCTTCCCGATTTACTAACCGTAACACTTTTAGCAGTTTTCTAGTAAACGTCTGAGAGAACCTTTTTTTTTTTTTTTTTTTTTCCATCGGCATGGCTAACCTTCAGGAGAGTGACTTCTTGCTCCTTCTCGGGCTAAAGTTGTTCCGCTGACATTAAGTAGAAAGATTATATTGAATCAATTTCTAGGCCTGCTGCTAGCAATGTTGATTCATTGTTTCGTGCTAGTCAACTTTTCTAGCCAGAATCTATCTCAGCTATCCGCCTACCATTCGTCTATGCATTGAATATTGCTGCCATTATGTATTTAGAGATTCTTGATAAAATCCAAAGAAGTATCTACAATGTTATTAGTCCTGATCTTGCATCTCAGCTTCAGTCCCTTTTTCATCGCCGTAACGGAGCTTCCATGTGTCTTTTCTATAAATATTTTCATGGTAAATTTTTCCGATGAGCTTTCCTATTTAGTCTCATCATTTTACAGTTAAAATGGCTAGATGGTACCGTAAGTTCTATGCTAACAGTTTCTTCTCTTGCACTTCTTGCGTGTGGAACTCTTCCAGTCAACTTTGATCTTCAAAAATTTAAATACAATGTCTATCGTTATCTTCTGTTTTCTTAATTCCTATTCTTTTGTTGTTCTTTCTCCTTAATGTTTTCTTTTTCTGGTATTCTGTTACACTCAGTAACCCCTGGCATCTTAGTGGCTTTATTGCCTTGCTTGTGGTGAAATGATTAAAAAAAACAACAACAAAAAAGTACCACATTCACACCTTCCTATATTTATAAAAGTTTTATTAAAGATAACACAAATTGTCTCATGGATTTTAAAACTGTTTCTTTTTTGGTAAATCATTGATTAATTTCCGTGCTTTAGAATTAAAAGTATGAAGGAAATGTCCAGATTTCATGTAAAGATTCGAACTTTAGACTGACTTCAGTCATTTTCAAAACTCCCTTTGCTGATTGTTAGAAGCCTTGTGGTGACATTATACTTCAAATCTTAGATACAGTATTTCCACGATTATACGGACTTGTAGATTTTTCGAACTTCACTTATCCGGACGTGAAATGAAGAAAAAAAATCGAAATCACTCAAACAATTTTCATCCATTCTAATATTTCATCTCAGACAAGCGCTTTGAGAATTTAGAAGAAGAAAAAAAACCTACTCAACGTTTGATAAAAAAAACTGATACAACCAGTACAACTAATCTTTATTAATTTTCCCGTTGTTTTCTTACGAAGAACATAGGGATTTTCCAAGCATAGCTTAGATGTGGCACAAGGCCGAAAGTATGGGACACCCAGTGAGGATCGAACTCACTCGTAATTTTTCTAGCGAGACAAGCTTGCTAACTATTACACCGCCTCGAGGTGCACTTTCGTACGAAGAACATAATTTGAATTATCACAGCTTGGTCAGGTTAGTGGTTATGGCTTACGGATGCGCGTAAACAGACGAGAATTGACGCCTTTTTTCATCAGCACCATTCATTCAGTCAAAGTATTTTGCGCCACCACTGTGGTCACCACTCCCTTCCATCTCTCAATTGTGGCTCATGGTGACATTCAAGACCTATACTGCGCCATGTATCTAAATGTATTTAAATGCTCAGAACCTATATTACGCCAGGTATTTAAATGTATTTAAATCCTCAGAACTTCTAGGTATTTAAATGTATTTAAATCCTCAGAACCTATACTACGCTAGCTATTCAAATGTATTTAAATTCTCAGAACCTATACTACGCCAGGTATTTAAATCCTCAGGACCTATACTACACCAGGTATTTAAATGTATTTAAATCCTCAGAACTTATACTACGCTAGGTATTTAAATGTATTTAAATCCTCAGAACCTATACTACGCCAGGTATTTAAATTCTCAAGACCTTTACTACGCAATAAATATATTTAAATTCTCAGAAACTATAATATGCCAGACATTTAAATTTATTTAGCTTCTCAGGACCAGAGATCTTGAGTTCACCCCGTCCATCTTCTTAGAAGTTCCTCCATCCATTGTTAAAGTCATTGACCTATGAGGCGCAACTCCTACAACCTTGTGTAAATTAATTGAAACAACCGCTTTAGTTTCCTTTCTTTCACCATACGGTCAGTTTTAGACCCACTGAAGCGACAGGGTGCAATCGATTTCTATTTTTTCCTCGGGTTAGGTCATTTGCAGTGGTGTGCAGTAAAATGAATCTATTTTCGGGGCGTATGATGAAATTTGTTTGGCCTTGAAAAATATTGCGTCATCCGTGATTGCATCAGATTTTTATCACGCTCAGACACTATTGTCTCGAATGTCGATTAGTTGTCCTACGGCCATTTCCCGCGATGGACGTTACTCTAAGGAAACGTACGAAAATTGTAATGCTGCACAAACACAATGGCAAGCCTTACCAGTGAGCATATCAAAGTACTATCGACTGGCTTGGAAACTCTCTGGATTTAAATCCAATCGAGAATCTGTGTTCAATCTGCAAGTAAAGACTTCGTACTAACATGTGCACTGGGTCATGTTTCATTGGAAAAATACGAAAAAGGTAAATAATAATGGAATTATTCGTTTTGTATCAATTAATTTGCACAGGGCTGTACGTCCTTGTTGGCAACTGACCGATGGCTGCACGGCGCAGGTGGATTGGAGAGAGGCGCCCCCTTCACCGGTCGAGTCTGGAAATCCTTCTGACTACCCTCACACAATTTAGCCGGGAGGTCGATGCCGTTGATGAAGGTGTGGATTTCTCGGGGCTATGTGTGAGAGTTGCATGTAGGCCGTGGATTTGTACAGTTCCGCATCCCAATTCACCTGCCGATCGATACACCCCATACATACTCTTTTTTTTTTTTCATATGAAAAAAAAAATAACAAAAGAAAAATTTGAACAAACCGTTTAAAAAATGTTATTTGATTATATAAATGTTAAATTTCTTTCAGAAAATGACATTTTTTTCATTCTT